GGAAGGGAGATAGTAGTAATGGGGACTTCAATTACCCAGATATTTGTTGGATGTCAAACTCAGCCAAGAGCATAAGGTCAAACAGATTCCTCACTGGCCTTGCAGACAACTTCATTGTCCAGAAAGTGGGAGAAGCAACAAGAGGAACAGCCATTTTAGATCTGGTCCTAACCAATGTTGATGACCTGGTTAGTGGGGTAGAAGTGGAAGGATCATTAGGCGCGAGTGATCATGCTCTTCTGAAGTTTACTATACAGCGGAAAGGAGCAGCCAAGCATACTAGGACTCAATTTCTTGACTTTAAGAAAGCTGACTTCATAAAACTTAGGGAAGTGCTGGGTGAGATCCCATGGACAGTAATACTAAAAGGAAAGGGAGTTCATGATGGCTGGGAGTTTGTTAAGAGGGAGATACTAAAAGCACAACGTCAGGCAATACCAATGAGACGGAAACATGGAAGGTGCCTAAAGAAGCCAGGGTGGCTATCTAAAGAACTTTTAACTGAGTTAAGATTAAAAAAGGATGTGTACACAAATGGAAAAGGGGAAACCACCAAAGAGGAATTCAAACAAATAGCCAGCACGTGTAGACACAAAGTCAGAAAAGCTAAAGCACAGAATGAACTCAGGCTTGCTAGAGAGGTTAAAAGCAACAAAAAAGGCTTTTATGGGTATGTTCGTAGCAAAAGGAAGAACAAAGAAACAGTGGGGTCACTCAGAGGAGAAGATGGTGAAATGCAAACAGGGGACACAGAAAGGGCTGAACTCCTCAATGCCTTCTTTGCCTCAGTCTTCTCCGATAAAGAAAACAATGCCCGACCTGAAGAATTTGGAGCAAATGATTCAGCAAAGGAAACACAGCCCAGAATAACTAAGGAGATAGTACAAGAATACTTGGCTAGTTTAGATGTATTCAAGTCTCCAGGGCCAGATGAACTGCATCCAAGAGTATTAAAAGAACTGGCAGATGTGATCTCAGAACCACTGGCAGTCATCTTTGAGAATTCCTGGAGAACAGGCGAAGTCCCGGCAGACTGGAGGAGGGCAAATGTTGTCCCTATTTTCAAAAAGGGGACAAGAGAGGACCCAAATAATTACCGCCCAGTCAGTCTGACATCAATACCAGGAAAGATTCTGGAGCAGATCATCAAGCAAACAGTCTGTGAGCACCTAGAAAGGAATGCTGTGATCACCAATAGTCAGCATGGATTTCTGAAAAATAAGTCATGTCAGACTAACCTGATCTCGTTTTTTGACAGAATTACAAGCCTGGTAGATGAAGGGAACGCAGTGGATGTAGCCTACCTTGATTTCAGCAAGGCATTTGACAAGGTGCCTCATGATATTCTTGTAAAGAAGCTGGTAAAATGTGGTCTTGACTATGCCACCACTCAGTGGATTTGTAACTGGCTGACTGACCGAACCCAAAGGGTGCTCATCAATGGTTCCTCTTCATCCTGGAGAAGAGTGACTAGTGGGGTGCCACAGGGTTCTGTCTTGGGCCCGGTCTTATTCAACATCTTTATCAACGACTTGGATGATGGACTCAAAGGCATCCTGATCAAATTTGCAGATGACACCAAATTGGGAGGGGTGGCTAACACCCCAGAGGACAGGATCACACTTCAAAATGACCTTGACAGATTAGAGAACTGGGCCAAAACAAACAAGATGAATTTTAACAGGGAGAAATGTAAAGTATTGCACTTGGGCAAAAAAATGAGAGGCACAAATACAAGATGGGGGATACCTGGCTTGAGAGCAGTACATGTGAAAAGGATCTAGGAGTCTTGGTTGACCACAAACTTGACATGAGCCAACAGTGTGACGCGGCAGCTAAAAAGCCAATGCAATTCTGGGCTGCATCAATAGGAGTATAGCATCTAGATCAAGGGAAGTAATAGTGCCACTGTATTCTGCTCTGGTCAGACCTCACCTGGAGTACTGTGTCCAGTTCTGGGCACCACAGTTCAAGAAGGACACTGACAAACTGGAACGTGTCCAGAGGAGGGCAACCAAAATGGTCAAAGGCCTGGAAACGATGCCTTATGAGGAATGGCTAAGAGAGCTGGGCATGTTTAGCCTGGAGAAGAGGAGGTTAAGGGGTGATATGATAGCCATGTTCAAATATATAAAAGGATGTCACATAGAGGAGGGAGAAAGGTTGTTTTCTGCTGCTCCAGAGAAGCGGACACGGAGCAATGGATTCAAACTACAAGAAAGAAGATTCCACCTAAACATCAGGAAGAACTTCCTGACAGTAAGAGCTGTTCGACAGTGGAATTTGCTGCCAAGGAGTGTGGTGGAGTCTCCTTCTTTGGAGGTCTTTAAGCAGAGGCTTGACAACCATATGTCAGGAGTGCTCTGATGGTGTTTCCTGCTTGGCAGGGGGTTGGACTCGATGGCCCTTGTGGTCTCTTCCAACTCTATGATTCTATGATTCTATGATTCTATGACCATTATGTGTAGCCCAAAGGGGGCTCTCCTGCTTCCCTTCTCTGCCTCCGTGGGCTTGAGATGAAAACCTAAAGTTCAATCAAAGTCTCCTTCACACTGTTGGAACTGATAGATGTAAAGCAGCCTGGGTCCCTTGGTTTAAAGAGGCCCCTCTAATGGAAGGCGGAGCTGGCTGTGTAGACGGAGAAGTTGGCGGTTGCTGAAACAACATTCAAGTTCTGCTCTTACTATGTCTCCAGCCTGAGCTGTCCAAGGTACTATTTAATCTTTAAATACTTCCCTTGCCTCAACCTAGACATTGCCTTACTTCATTACATCATGCACTGTTTCCCCAAACCTAAGCCCTGCTGGATCAGACCCAAGGACCATCTAGTCCAGCATCCTCTCCCAGTGGTCAACCATGGGAAGCCAAAAAGCAGGAGCTGAGGGCAACAGCATTCTCCCCATTTGTTTCCCAGACACTGGATGAAGCTTGGTTTCCAGACCCTTGATTATCTTGGTTGCCCTACTCTGCACATGTTCCAGCTTGTCAATATCCTTGTTAAATTGTGTTGCCCAGAACTAGACACAGTACTCCATGTATGGTCTGACCAAGGCAGAATAGAGTGGGACTATTACTTCCGTTGATTGGGACACTATACTGCGGTTGACGCAGCCAAGAATAGCATTAGCCTTTTTTGCTGCTGCATCATACTGTTGACTTACATTAAGCTTGTGGTCTACTAAGACCCCTAGATCCTTTTCACATGTACTGCTGGCAGGCTAGGTTAATTTTATATTTGTGCAGAACCTTATCTTTGTCCCTACTGAAATTCATCTTGTTGGTTTGGGTCCAGTTCTCCAATCTGTTCAGGTCATCTTGAATCCTGTTTCTGTCTTCAGCAGTATTAGCTACTCCTTCAAGTTTGGTGTCATCTGCAAATGAGCAGAGCTTCACACTACACACTGGAACTCACTGGCACCCTAACTATGCCACGCCTGTCCCCAAACCTCATATTTTGTATACTGCTTCGGAAGCTTTTGATGACGTATTTTGAAATTTAAAAATGCAGGTAACAATGTGGGGTTGGCTGGTTTGGGCATGTGGCCCAGATCTTTGCTCAGCACCGCTTCTATATTTGTCCACCATCTGCAAACAAGTAAGCCAATTACTTGCAGTAAGGGGGAGCAATGACTATCAACAGAGCACAGAAGGCAACTTGATCAGGGCCCTCCAAAATTTAGACCCAATAAGTAGTGCAGTCCAGGGCTGTGTTCTGATGTGAGCACTGGCCTCAGCTGAGATGACAGTACCCTGGACAGCTCCATGGAGGACTCACACTGAGGACTGCATGAAAGCTGAGCTCAGATGTTGCTTCAGAAGTAGCTGTTGGGCTCAGATTAAGACTTTGAGTGGACCTATAGCTCTGTTAAAGAAATGGGAGTGCCTGATCACCTCATCTGTCTCCTGAGAAATCTCTATGTGGGACAAGAAGCTACAGTTAGAACTGGATATGGAACAACTGATTGGTTCAAAATTGGGAAAGGAGTACGGCAAGGCTGTATATTGTCTCCTGCTTATTTAACTTATATGCAGAATTCATCATGCGAAAGGCTGGGCTGGATGAATCCCAAGCTGGAATTAAGATTGCCGGAAGAAATATCAACAACCTCAGATATGCAGATGACACAACCTTGATGGCAGAAAGTGAGGAAGAATTAAAGAACCTGTTAATGAGGGTGAAAGAGGAGAGCGCAAAATATGGTCTGAAGCTCAACATCAAAAAAACAAAGATCATGGCCACTGGGCCCATCACCTCCTGGCAAATAGAAGGGGAAGAAATGGAGGCAGTGAGAGATTTTACTTTCTTGGGCTCCATGATCACTGCAGATGGTGACAGCAGTCACGAAATTAAAAGACACCTGCTCCTTGGGAGAAAGGCGATGGCAAACCTAGACAACATCTTAAAAAGCAGAGACATCACCTTGCCAACAAAGGTCCGTATAGTAAAAGCCATAGTTTTCCCAGTAGTGATGTATGGAAGTGAGAGCTGGACCATAAAGAAGGCTGATCGCCAAAGAACTGATGCTTTTGAACTGTGGTGCTGGAGGATACTCTTGAGAGTCCCATGGACTGCAAGAAGATCAAACCTCTCCATTCTGAAGGAAATCAGCCCTGAGTGCTCATTGGAAGGACAGATCGTGAAGCTGAGGCTCCAATACTTTGGCCACCTCATGAGAAGAGAAGACTCCCTGGAAAAGACCCTGATGTTGGGAAAGATTGAGGGCACAAGAAGAAGGGGACGACAGAGGACAAGATGGTTAGACAGCGTTCTCGAAGCTACAAACATGAGTCTGACCAAACTGCGGGAGGCAGTGGAAGACAGGAGTGCCTGGTGTGCTCTGGTCCATGGGGTCACAAAGAGTCGGACACGACTAAACGACTAAACAACAACAACAACAAATAGCTCTGTTCTGTATGTAACTCCACTTTTATGGAATTGTAAACTTGGAAGGGATCCCAAGGAACATCTAGTCCAACTCCCTGCAATGCAGGAATAGTCCCAACTCTACCTGGGGACTGAACCTGAGAACTTCTGCATGCAAGGCAGGTGTTCTACCACTGAGCTATTGCCTCTTGATTTAAAGGGATCAAACTTTCTCCTGTAGACTGTGCATCAGTGGAGCTGGGGAGACTCTGGTTGAACTTGGACTTGTAAGATAAAGTCCTCAGAGTCAGAGGAGGTAACAAGGCTACTGGACTCTTCTTGCAAAAGTACTTAAAGTGCTTCTGGGGCAGCCCCTGCCCCTGTAACTCCCTGGCCTCATCCCCTGAAGAAGAAGAATCTGCCCCCAAGGTCATAGCAGGTAGGTGTGTTAGTTCCAAGGTGACAGTCTGAAGGAAAGGAGCTGGATCTAAGCCTGTCAGGGGTCCTTTCACAACAAAGCAAGTTGCAGTGACTTCAGTTAGGCCTGGTGGAATTGGATCGGTTCTCAGGGTCAGCTAGCTAAGTTCAAAGTTCAGGTAGTCAGGCCTAGATGGCACCTCTGAAAAATGCAGTTCAGCACTCAAAGCACAAAAATGTGCCCCTGCCGTCAGCAAGATCCTCGCTGCTTAAAGTCCCAGTTTGAGACCCATCCTGGCATCTAGGATCTGAAGTTGCTCCTACCCTTCCCATTAGGCTCAATATCTTGCCTTATTAGCATCACCCTCCCTTAAATATTATCATCTAGTATCTGAAAACTGACTTTTCCCCCCTGCATGGATTTGCTAAGCACCAGCTGGGTGGATCTTGACAGAACTTTCGACAGATGGCTTTTGGAACTGCCTTTTACTTTTGGCATTTCAGACCTGGGCACATCTGTGGGAGCTGTGGCTGATTCAGTCACTTTCAGAGTTCTCAAGCTCTTTTCTTCCCTTTCCCCCTCCTCCCTCAGAAACCCCACATTAGTTGCAATTATCAAAAGTAGCTGGTAACGCAGATGCTAATTGGCGTAAGCGGCTCTGTCCTTTTTCCTTGAAGCTTTTGGGGCTTTTCTGAGAACGCTCTGCAAAGAGCCTGGGAGATTTAAAGGTTACAATTAAAGATGCTGCGGTAATTTTCCAGGTTACGATTACCGAAGCAGATATTGTTGGTTCTGCTGCTGCGCGCAATTATCCCAAAACTTCTTTTATATCTAATTTTCTCTCGTTTGCTTTTTGCCGGGGTGGGGAATTGGCAGCTGAATACACAAGTTCTTTCTCAAGGGCATGGAGAGGGGAGTGAAACTTCACACTCTGAGCAGGAAGGGAGGCGGAGGGGCAGCTAACCCAGTCCCTCCTTTCCCCTTGGTCTTTACCATTGGAACCAAGTGGATGATGATAATATTATTATTATTATTATTATTATTATTAATAATAATAATAATAATTTATTACTTATACCCTGCACATCTGCCGCCCGGGCCTCCCCAGCAACTCTGGGTGGCTTCCAACAGGATATTGAAAACACAATAAAAGATCAAACATTAAAAACTTCTCTAAACAGGGCTGCCTTCAGGTGTCTTTTAAAAGTAGGAAAGTTGCTTATTTCCTTGACATCTGATGGGAGGGCGTTCCACAGGGCAGGTGCCACTACCGAGAAGGCCCTCTGCCTGGTTCCCTGTAACCTTACTTCTCGCAGTGAGGGAACCACCAAAAGGCCCTCGGCACTGGACTTCAGTGTCTGGGCAGAACAATGGGGGTGGAGACTCTCCTTCACGTATACTGGACTGAGGCCATTTAGGGCTTTAAAAGTGAGCACCAACACTTTGAATTGTTTTCAGAAACATACTGGGAGTCAATGTAGGTCTTTCAGGGCCAGTGTTATATGGTCTCGGAGGCCACTCCCCGACACCAGTCTAGCTGCCACATTCTGGATTAGTTGTAGTTTCCAGGTCACCTTCAAAGGTAGCCCCATGGAGAGTGCATTGCAGTAGTAGGATTTCTTTATTCCCTTGCTGCCTCCACTAAACAACCATTTAATGGTGCTGTACTAGATGGGCTGTTGATTTGCTGCGGTAGGGCTCCCCATACATGCTTACTCAGTGGGCCAGGAAGTTTTCTGTACTGTGCAGATTGGGAAGTGTAAGAATTAAGTGTGGAGTCAAGAACAGACTAAAACAGTGTAGGTTTTTACCAAATATTTTTGTAAGGCAGCAATGTGAATGGTTTTTGTGAAGATGTTTTTATACCTATATAACATTCTGGGCATGGGACGTGGGTGGCGATGTGGTCTAAACCACTGAGCTTTGGGCTTGCCAATCAGAAGGTTGACGGTTTGAATTCCCGCGACGGAGTGAGCTCCCGTTGCTCAGTCCCTGCTCCTGCCAACCTAGCAGTTCGAAGTCAAAGTGCAAGTAGATAAATAGGTGCCCCTCTGGCGGGAAGGTAAAAGGCGCTGCTCTGGTTTCCCCAGAAGCGGCTTAGTCATGCTGGCCACATGACCCGGAAAAACTGTCTGCCGACAAACGTTGGCTCCCTTGGCCAGTAAAGCGAGATTAGTGCCACAACCCCAGAGTCGTCCGCAACTGGACTTAACTGTCAGGGGTCCTTTACCTTTACCTTTTTAACATTCTGGGCACCACCATTTAAGAAGGGTGTTGACAAGTTGGAACATGTGCAGAGGAGCGCAACTAAGATGATCAAGGGTCTGGAAAACAAGCCTTCTGAGGAACGGTTGAAGGAGCTGGGTATGTTTAGCCTGGAAAAGAGGAGACTAAGAGGAGATATGATAGCCACCTTCCAAAATCTTAAGGGCTGTCACATAAAAGACAGAACAAGCTTGTTTTCTCCTGCTTTGGTGGGTGGGGCTCGATCCAAAAGCTTCAAATTGCAAGAAAGGAGATTCTGACTAAACATCAGGAAAAACTTTCTGACAGTAAGAGCTGTTTTTGAAATGGGAACAGTCACCCGGGAGGTTGTGGTCTCCCCTTCCTTGTAGGTTTTTAAGCAGAGGTTGGATGGCCATCTGTCATGGATGCTTTAGCTTAAATTCCTGCATTGCATTGGAGTAGATGATGCTTAGGATCCTTTCAAACTCTGCAATTCTATGATTCTATATATGTTCTTCATTGAAAGATAAAAAGTACATAATTACGAGTGCACAAAGATGCAGATTTGAAGAAATAGCACCCATGTAGAAAACAATGTTTTTGTGGGAGTGGAGAGAAACTGTTTTTAAACAGTTTTAACAGATAGCCAGTAGTACAAATGAAAATGACCTCGTAAAATGCACTCATCTATCTTGACTGTTCTCTTGCTATACTTAGCAGTGCATCAATTTCCATTTTCCACAGTTCTGCTCCTCGAGTCTGGATCCACTGTTTGTTTTTTTTAGTGATTTCTGCTTTCTCCAGCAGTTCAGCTATCTTTCTGAGTACAGCACATAAGTATTTATTTTGTTCTTGGCATGGAACTTCACAGCGGTTTAATGTTGTGACTGTGCGTTTAATGTTTAATAAACCTTTTATATTGCCATCATTGGTGAATGGAAACAGTAGGCTAGTCAATCCACAGGTAGATCTGCTATAGATGCCAACATCTGTTTACCCTAATTCTGTAGCAGAGGTATCTGGAAAAACAGGCTTGTTTTAAGTTGAGTATGTAGTGATGACAAAATCATAGTGTGGTAATAAAATCCTGGACCATAAAGAAGGCTGATCGCCGAAGAATTGATGCTTTTGAATTATGGTGTTGGAGGAGACTGCAAGAAGATCAAACCTCTCCATTATTAAGGATATCAGCTCTGAGTGCTCATTGGAAGGACAGATCCTGAAGCTGAGGCTCCAATACTTTGGCCACCTCATGAGAAGAGAAGACTCCCTGGAAAAGACCCTGATGTTGGGAAAGATTAAGGGCACAAGGAGAAGGGGACAATAGAGGACGAGATGGTTGGATAGTGTTCTCGAAGCTACCAGCATGAGTTTGACCAAAGTGCGGGAGGCAGTGGAAGACAGGAGTGCCTGGCGTGCGCTGATCCATGAGGTCACGAAGAGTCAGACACGACTAAACGACTAAACAACAAAATAAAATCCTAGAGTGCAATGCTATTCATACTTACCCTACATAAACGGTGGGTATATAAAAGACCCATATAGGATTGTGTTGTTAGATAATGAGAGGTGGACACATGTATGAAATTAAGTTACAAAAGAAAATGACTCATCTGCTGATTGTGCATATTTCCCAGACCTTTAAGGGAAAGTATTCCATGGACCTTTTGAATAGTATTCAGTGGTAAGAAATTAGCAGTGGATCCAGCTGATACTTCATTTCTCTGCTACCAGCCACAAAGACACTCAGCTGCAACTGCAAATGTACCAGGAGATTACCTTCAACTGATTGCCTGCCCTACTTTTTTCCACAGTGCTTGGTTGCTTGCAATTTTACAGTTGCAGGTGTACAGCTAATTCCTGGTTTAGAGAGGCATAGTATTAATCACTCTCACTTCACCCCTGAACAAGAGGGTGATTCTAGGCTATTTAAATGTTTAATTTAGAGAGAGAAATTGTTGAGCTTTACAACACCATTCATGTAAATGGTGCTTCACGGCATAAGCATAAAAATAGAGGTCACCACCTAAAGGATCGTTGCCACCAGATGTATTAGTGTGGAAGAGCTAATAGGAATGACCGTGCAATCCTATGCTCATTTACTCAGAAGTAAGGGCCACTGGGTTCAGTGAGGCTTCCTTTCAGGGAAGCGTGCATAGGATTGCAGCTCGGATCAATCCATTTTTCCCTTGTATACATTTTATACGTCCCTGGTGGCTTCTTGCAAACAAACAGAAAAAACATGTCACTGAACAATGACATCAAATGGAGTAAACTGTGAAATAAAGGAAGCATGCAGAATGGCTAAAAGTCAACAAAGCATTATCAACCCTGCAAGGTAAAAAAAGACTTCCTAATAATAATAACAAATATTTGCCAGCAAAGAGAAGGGAGTGAGATTTCTGTTGCAGACATAGGCAAACTTGGCCCTCCAGCTGTTTGGGGACTACAGTTCCCATAATCTCTGACCACTGGTCCTGTTAGCTAGGGATGATGGGCGTTTTAGTCCCAAAACATCTGGATGCCTGCCTCATAGGCCTCATCTCCTGTCCTAGGCAATGTG